GTATCATGGCCACAGTCATGGTAAATGGAATGGACGTGGTAGAAGTGGAAATTATAATTTATATGATCAAGGAAACCATTCATATGGTTAAGGCCACCGACCCGACTTTGGTCGTAATCGAGGTAGGCCACGGTATACCCAAACCACAACACTCAAATAAACTTGTTTGCCACTGATGAGGAATGGGGAAACCATTGGACTAAGACGTGCATGACACCTAAGCATCTCGTTGATCTCTATCAAGAGAGTTTGAAAAGAATCAAGAAGCTCATTTAGTTCATCACGATGGTGAAGAAGATTTCGACCATGAGATAGATGATTATGAGAATTCAATAAACGAAATATCTAAAGACATGGTTCATTAGCCAAATTGCGGGTATAGCTAAATTTAGTGAAGGCTAAGGGTAGGCCCATGGCAGGCCCATATTCCCAAGGGCACGCATCCTCAGATGCTTCATATTCACCCAGCTCAAAGGGGCCTATTGAGTTTCAAAGAAATGTGTTTGAATAGTTTCCACATTGAAACTAAGGGTGAAGGGAACAAAGGATTGCCATATATTACTAAGAGCATCCAAGACCATGAGAAGGTCTTACAGACTATATCCGCGTCATATATCTTTACTATGCCAAGGTCAATATGATAAAGGCTAATAAAGTAAACAAAAGGGTTTACTGAGAAATTCACTAATGGCATGACCGGCTTGGCCAGCCCGGTTCGAATATGATGCGTAAATTAATTCAAAGTTCTAAAGGGCACACCCTTAAAGAAAACCGAGTTTTCCCTAAGCACCACACGTGCATAGCCTGTTCACAAGGGAAGCTTATCACTTGAACTTCACCAGTCAAAGTGTCTAAAGAGACCTTACATTTTCTGGAACGAATTCAAGGAGACATATGTGGTCCGATCCATCCACCTTGTGGAACATTTCGGTACTTCATGGTTTTAATCGATGCATCGACCCGCTGGTCGCATGTTTGTCTTCTAGGAACCAAGCGTTTGTTAGGTTATTGGCCCAAATCATCAGATTGCGAGCCTATTTTCCAGATTTTCCTCTTAAGACCATACGTTTAGATAATGTTAGTGAATTCACTTCCCAAGCATTTAATGACTATTGTATGGCCATGGGGGTAAGTGTGGAACATCCTGTGGCACATGTCCATACACAGAACGGATTAGCTGAATCCCTCATTAAACGAATTCAACTAATTACTCGACCATTACTCATGAGGTCGCAGCTTCCGGTCTCAGCTTGGGGACATGCAGTTTTACACGCTGCTGAACTAATACTCATTCGGCCATCTAGTGAGCATAGATATTCCCCATCCCAATTGCTAACGGGTCATGAGCCAGACGTTTCCCATCTAAAGAAATTTGGGTGTGTCACCTATTTACCCATAGCACCACCACAGAGAGCAAATGATGGGACCTCAAAAGGGGATGGGAATATACGTTAAAAATGATTCTCCCACCATCATTAAGTATCTCGAGCCAAAGGGTGGAGAGACTAACAAGCTGGTCAAAGAACTTACATGGAATCAAACATCCTTCACATGGCAAGATCCTCGGACTCCATCAGAGATCCAAAAGACTATATATCTGCAAAAGCTAGCTAAAACAGTTGCCAAGATTCCTATAATGACCCAAAGAGAGTAACAAAATCGTACATACCAGCTTGTAATGCACCAGTACGTATTGATGTTCACAAGGAACACAATCAAGTTGCTACAGAGGCTACAACACGTAAGAAATGTGGTAGACCCAAAAGGTTCCAAAGACAAGAACCCTCGGAAATCAAAGAAAGGTGCAAGGGAAACCGAGAAGGTTCAAGAAACCATAGACATGGCCGGCTAATAGACATAACCCTAAGGTACCAATCAATGAGGTTTGGGACGCCAAACCTCAAGGTCCTGAAGGTGTAAAGAGATCTCTATAAACTATATCATGTCTAGAATACAATGGAACCGAAAAGATGTCGACATCAATGATAAAATATTTGCGTACAAGGTAGCAACTGAAATGAATGAGGATCATGAGCCCACGTCTATACTAGAGTGCACTCAAAGACCTGATTGATTAAAATGGTACAAGACCATAAAACGTGGAGCTAAGAATCATTAAGAAGAAGAATGTGTTTGGTCCAATACGAAGGACACCATTCAATGTAAAGCCAGTAGGACAAATGAGTCTTTGTGATTATGTGAAATAAACATAGTGAAAGCGTGATATATCAGACACGGCTTGTCGCACAAGGATTCACACAAAGACCAGAAATAGAGGAGATATACTCCCCTGTGGTGGATGCTAAGACATTTAAATTTTTGCTAAGTCTGGCTATATAAAAGAGAAAGATTTGCGGCTAATGGATGTAATGCCTGCATATTTATATAAGTCCACTGGATAATATACGAGATTACCAGAGGGTATTGAGCTCAAAGATAAGAAAGATTTTCGAGAACAGCACTGCATAAGGCTGGACAAATCCTTATATGGACTGAAACAAAGCGGACGTATGTGGTATAACCGGTTAAGCGAATATCTCATCAGAGAAGGCTATAAAAACGATCTGATCAGTCCATGTATTTTTATCAAGAAGTTTGCAAACAAAGGATTTGTAATCATAGAAGTGTATATGAATGATTTAAACCTCTGGGTAATCGCCCAAACAGTTGAGTATATCTAAAGAAAGAATCTCAAATGAAAGACCTAGGCAATAATTAAGTTCTGTTTGGGATTACAACCTGAGTACGTGAATAATGGAATCCTTGTGCATCAAATGGCATACACTGAAAGAGTACTCAAGGAAATTTAATAAGGACCAGGCCCGCCCATTGACCAGGCCCAAGGGTGGTGAGAAGCCTCAGATTGGATAGTGATCCACTCAGTCCGGAAATGCCATACTTCAGTGCCATAGGAGTTCTAATGAATTTTGCTAGACACACTAGACCAAACATTTGTTTTGCCGTGAGTCTCCTGTCTAAATTTAGTTCATGATCAACCCAAAGGCACTGGAAAGGTTTAAAGGAAGGTTTGGTTAAATTTTAAAGTTTATTCTTCCTGCGTTGTTTACTTGGGTTTATTCTATACTGATCTAACCAAAGAAGATCCAATTTGCTTTGGTTTAGTTTGATTTGCTGATGCAGGTTATTCATAAGATCAGATAATGGCATGGTCAATGAATAGGAACTACGTGTGGCTTGATCCTTTCCAAGGGTACGTAGGCAACCTTCCTTAAGGCGCAGCTACTACTACTACTACTACTACTACTACTACTACTACTACTACTACTACTACTACATCAAAGACCATCATATTTGAAGACAACGCAGCCTGTATTGCTCAACTAAAGGATGGCTATATCAAAGGGGATCGAACGAAGCATATTCTGCCTAAGTTCATCTTCACTCATGAATTACAGAAGGACGGTCAGGTCAAAGTTCAACAGATCCGGTCAAGTGAGAATTCAGCCGACCTATTCACCAAATCATTGCTGACTTCAACGTTCCGGAAGCTCATTCATCAGATCGGGATGCGCGGACTTAAGGATCTACAGTGATGCTCAAATCAGGGGGAGTAATGCGTGTTGTACTCTTTTTCCTTTACCATGGTTTTGTCCCACTGGGTTTTCCTGGTAAGGTTTTAATGAGGCAACATTCCCCAGCGCATTATAGAGATCCTGGTTTAGTATCGGGCACGGTTATGTCTTTCAAGGGGAGTGTTATAAACCATATAGATGGACTCCATAACCGGTTCATGGCCCATTAGGGTTTTACCTTATTCTCTGTATCCTGCTATTATCCTTATATATATATCCCCTATCCTATTAATGAAATATACAGTTTACAACAATTAGAACATATAAGAACAATAATTTCATCCCAAACCGAGACTTAGGTAAAGAGGCCACCTAAATGTAACATCAAGTTATACTAGTCTTTGCCGGCGCAAAATCTGATAGTAATTATAAATTTTAAAAAGGCACGAGCACAAATACGAATAACAAACTATAATTGATCGCATTATAACACAAGAAACAACACAGAGTTTAAGCTATTATAATGTAATCTGGAGTGTATTTTTCAAAAATATTATAAATTGGATATTTGGAGGTACATGTAGCCGCCATTAGTTTGACAATTACGTTAATCACGTAGAAAAATAATAATATGAGAAGCCATCTCTATTGAACATGATATCAATTAAATTAATTTTGTTTCATTACAGTACAAAAAAACTGCAACAATAGTCAATATTCATAAAATAATAGGACAACAATTAACTCTTTGCTGCATGAGAAACCGAACCTTTTCCCCACATGAGTTTGATAAATAACAAGGTTTTTTTTTTTGTTTTCTTTCATTTTTGGTGAAAAAATTAGATATGAGAGCTCAAACATAATTATGAATAGATCATAAATTTATTACGTCACAAATAATATGTGTCTTTAATCCCTTTAGAATTATTTTTTTATATACAACCAAGAAATTCTTCTCTATGGATAAAAGAACTAGAGAAGATTAATTAAAGAACTTAGACTATTTATTATTTAAAATCAACAAGTATTCTTTGCTATTGTGATAAATATAACTGAAATTTTGGTAAAAAAAATTTTATTGAGAAGGAAATAGATTCTAAAAAATGCTTACCTGAACCAAAATGTTATTTTAAACCATATGAAAAACTAAACCGAAAAACAAAGTTCTTCTATGTGTCAAAAATTTTAAAATCAATTCTTAGTTTACCATAAAATTCGAATACAAAACAAAGCACATTGGAATTTACAAATGAATTAGTTAAAAAAAAAAAGAAAAAAAAGAAGAGAGACATAGTTTGTCAAAACCGAATCAAGAATAAATGTATCAGTTATGATATTGTTTTTGAAAAATAATGTCTTCCTAATATCAACAAATTAGCTAGAGACTACATTTATTAAGTTATTAGAGACTACATTTACTGAGTTATTCACAAGATAAAAAGTTTACAGGTTCTATTTATACAGATGTAATCTATTCAAAATTTAGTCTGGAAAGATGTAAGGACCAATAATTGTATAAATCCTCTTGATATATAAAATAAACAACTATGAAAAAACTAGAAAAACCAGCCAATTTGGTCTAAAAGAACATGTACAATTGAGAGTTAGAAAAATCACAATAATTAAGTCACGACCCATGAGGTAGGTGAGACTTATAAAGGCATCTCCTAATTCATTCACCATTCATTTTCTCCACCTCTCTCTTCTTTAATCTCTCTAAAGTCAAGCTTTTCTTCTGAAAGGGAACACCTTCCAAGAACCAAGAAAGGCAAAATAAGAACAGAGCATCCAAAGAACAACCCATTAATGGAGATAGAAGTGGCAGTAGCATCAGCAGAACTCAATTTCGACAGCACAACTTCTTCTCCTTACATAACAGCTCCTTCAAGCCCAACTCGATTTGGTAACAACAATGTTTTCTTTTTCAGTGCACCCACAAGTCCTTCTCCTTCCACTTCCTCTAACATACCTTATGATTGGGATGACCAACCAAGAACTCCCAAGAAGAGATCAGCCAGCGATTTCGAAGACGATTTTGAGTTCAATTTCAGTGGTCAATTGGAGAAAACTTCTTTCTCTGCTGCTGATGAGCTCTTTGATGGAGGAAAGATTCGACCTTTAGGGCCACCACTCACTCCTACTGTTTCTTCTCCTAGATCTAGGGATCTTGAGATAGAAGTTTCCGATGATCAAAAAGATCGAGGAAGAGATCGGTCTCCGGGATCTTCTTCTTCGCGTTATGATCGTAAAGGAAGCCGTTCTATGTCTCCGTTGAGAGTTTCAGACATTATGGTTGATGAAGAAGAAGAAGTACAATCAACAAAATTGGTTGCTTCCAACACAAGCAACCAAAAATCCTCTGTTTTCTTGTCAGCGATTTTGTTCCCTGGTCGAGCATATAAGAAGTGGAAACTCAAAGATCTATTGCTGTTCAGGAGCGCATCGGATGGAAGACCGGTTCCGACCAAAGAGTCCTTGAATAGATACGATATACTTACAAAGAAAGAGGCCGAGGATGTGAAAAATTCGAGTATCAGGTCGAGAGAGAGTTGTGAGTCGTCGGTGTCTAGGTCAAGGAGGAGGAACGGAGCCGTGGTATCGGCTCACGAGATGCATTACACTGAGAACAGAGCAGTGTCGGAGGAATTGAAGAGGAAGACATTCTTGCCGTACAAGCAAGGCTGGTTAGGCTGCTTAGGGTTTAACCCTGCGGTCAATGAAATTGCAAGAGTTGGGTCATTGTCACGTGCTTCCTCTTGATCCCTCTTGTACTTTTTTTGTTCTTATATATTATTTCTTTCTTTTTGAACAAAGTTCTTATATATTATTTATTCGCTTTTTTTGGTGGCTTTAAATGTGGTGGTGAGGTTCCATCAAATTGATGGAAAAAGATGATATTGTTTAATTTGTGACGATTGATACAAGTGAATAAAAGAACAAACAAATGTAAAATTTGCCTTGCGATGTCTTTTGGCTATTGTGTTCATTCGACGAAGGATGTCCATCGGATACTAATTGACAATTAAACAAATTTGCCCCACCATAACTAGGCTAGTGAGAGTGCTCATTCTTTTCACGAGCTCCATATTTTATGTGGGCATTAAAAGATTTTAAAACAATCGATGTTAGAATTTCATATCGAAAAAGGATTAATACTACATGTACATCTAAGAATTGTAATGTAAAATAGTTTTTAGTCGTAAATCCATAGTTTCTCCTATAGTGTTAATCGGTATATACTAATCATGTATAGTGTTAATCCAAAGAAATTTGGAATTCAGTTTAAAATGAATAACATCAATGAACTATAATCTAGAAAAGACCATGTTAAGAATCTCACATCATAATCATTTAGATCAATTAACTCGCATTGTTATTTTTATTTGAAACATGAATCAATTATCCCATTTTTTCAAAAAAAAAAAAAAAACAATTATCCCAAAAAAGTTTAATTCGACTAATTTTGTATCATCAAGATACATTTAGTTTTTAGATACTCCACTCCAAATGAACCACATATGTATCTATTTGACTTGGACTATTCTTTAAAATGACTAACTGATAAAGGCTTTTCAATAATGTTTGAATGCTGAGAAATGGTTTTCATTACCATGAGATTGAAAGAAGATAAAGTGACGATAAATGTGTGCTTAATTTACGGAGCCATCAGATCAGTCATCAAGCGACGATTAATGCAAACAATGGATTTTTAGTTTATTGGCAAGAATATATAAGAGCATAAATTGTTCCTAAATTGTTTGAGAATTAAAAAAGTAGTTAAGAATGAAGAAACAATGAGGCTGAGCCGAAAGAGAGAATAGCAAAAGAAGAAATGCAATGCTCCTTAATCATGAGGTTTGTGCAATAATAATGGTAATGATTCTCTTAACAGAATAAAGTCTATGGACCACATATTACAATATTAATAGTTGTTATATAGTTAACATTTGATTAAGTAACTGATTAGTGATTACAACCTAATATGAGTTAATAACTTTAATACTCTCTTTTTATCTTTAACAAGTCTATTGCATCTTATTTGCAATGATGAATCCCAGGAACAACGCCTGGCGTTTCCAAGTTTTCTTACTGTAATTTTTTTTCCTTGATTAATTTACTAAATGGTTTGTACTTTCAGGAAGTAAAAATAGGTTAAAGAAAATTATTGAGATAATGGATTTAATTGATTTTAATTGATGGCACAAAACGGTACAGGTTATTTAGTAAGTATATGACATGGTAAGCAATACCAAAATAGTTTAAAGTAGTACTACAAAATAGTGATAAGAGAAAGCGGTAACAAAAAAAAAAAAGTGATACTTTTAGTAACATTTTTAATGGGTTTGAATAGTAACTCATTATAAAAACGGTACAGAGTATACAGATTTAACAGTTATCAATCATGAAAATATTATCAAAAGCGTTACTGAAGTGGTAGTCCCAATATTGCAGTGATATGAAGTTACCAATTAGAACCGGTATGACAATATATTTGTTAATAGTTACTTCAAATTTTTTTTTTATTAAAAATGTGATCCAAATAAAAATATAATTGAACGGCGACAGATAATATTAAAACTGGATCAGAGAGGTGGGTGACCATTTATTAATATGTTTGATACTACTTTGATTAGACAGGTTCTATGACCATTCTTAATTGTAATTGATGTTTTAATTTTTTTTTGATCAAACAAAAAAACTTGATGTTTTAATTAACTAAAAATACCAAACTCTTTCAATAATTAATTGGAAATGGAGTCCCGGCTATAACACATTTGCAATTTGCAGATGATTCATTATTTTTCTGCCAAACTAACCAAAAAAATTGAGGCCAAAAGATAAACACGAATAAATCATTAATAACTTTTGGCTCAAGAGTTTATGGAGCTACTCAAAATCATCTAAAACATATTCTAGGGATACTATATCATTGTGGAAGGGGAAAATACATTGGTTTACCTGAACAATTTGGTCGGAAAAAAAGAAAAAATGTTTGAATATATTATAGAGCGGGTCAAACAACGTACGTCGACGTTGAGTGCAAAATTTCTGTCCCCAGTGGGTAAAAAAATAATGTTAAAATCTGTAGTTCTTGCTATGCCAATTTACACGATGTCTTGTTTTAAACTACTCAAAAGAGTTATCTCGGAAACTGAAACCTTATTAATGAACTTCTGGTGGAAAAAAGCTCTAAACAAAAGGGAAACCCTTGGATAACTTAGAAAATATTACAATACTCAAAAAGAGAAGGTGGCCTAGGCTTTCGTGACCTCTCGCAAATTCAATGATGCACTTCTAGCAAAACAGGCCTAAAGGCTCATACAATATCCAAACTCCCTCTTTGTCCGTATTATGAAAGCCTGTTACTTCAATGATACCTCGATTTTGGACGCCAAGGAACATCGTTACCAACTTCTTAAGAAAGATACCCGCTACAATGTGGGAAACGGAAAGACAATTCGAATGGGAATCGATAACATCATTAACTCCCATCCGCCTCGGCCTTTAACTACAGACATAACCAACAAAGAGCTCCCATTAAGTCACCCAATCTCGAGTAATGGACCTGTTTTTCTGGGACTACGTCAATCTGGATGATCATGATTACCTCCACCCATTTATCTCCCACGAATCGAAGTGCCAGACAAACTGATCTGGCATTACTACACCTCTCGAGACTATACCGTTTGGTCTGGATACTGGTTATTATCTCACGACCCCGATGAAGTACATGCTCTCCCATCTATCCCACATGGTTTGATTGAACTAAAAACAGAATCTGGAAACTACCTATCATTCCAAATATCAAACATTTCCTTTGGAAAACTCTATCCCGGGCTCTAGCAACGACTACAAGGCTGAACACAAGAGGAATGCGTATTAATTTACTCTACACGCAATGTGGTCGTGAAGAGGAATCAATCAACCATGTTCTGTTTACGTGTCCTTTTGCGACCACGATTTGGCGATTATCAAATTCTCCTGTTTTGCAGTTACATCACTTCTCAAGTGACGCTGAAGACAACATCTAACACATCCTAAATCTCAATCAAAACCAAAGCATTTCGGATGTTCAAAAACTCCTTCCACTGTGGTTACTCTGGCATATTTGGAAAGGTAGGAATAATTTTGTCTTTAACAGATTCCGAGAGAGCCCATCTAAAGTCGTCCTCAAAGCTCAGGCTGAAACGAAAAACTAGATCAACATAACCTCCAATCATAAAAACAAAGCGAGTTCATCAAGTAAGGGACCATCAAAGAAGACAACTTGGACTCCCTCAACATATACAACTGTTAAGTGTAATTTTGATGCGGGGTTTGACGCTCAAACCTTACAAGCTACAGGAGGATAGATCATTAGAGATCAACAAGGGCACCAAAATGTCGGGGATCAGCAAAACTCTATCATGCGTCCAACCCGCTGGAAGCCGAAACAAAATCTTTACTTGCAGCACTTCAACAAACTTGGATACGAGGATTCAAATCGAGATTGTGAAGCTCTCATCAAGATCATCAATGGAAAATCAAAAACCCAGACTATCACAAACTTGGTAGAAGATATCCACCTTTGTGCTTTGAATTTTGAATCTATTTACTTTTGTTTTACGAGAAGACAATGTAATAGTGTGGCTCATAGTCTGGCATAATTGGGTGTAATTCTGAATTTTATTCTGATTTTGTAAACCAGCCAATCTAGCTTAAGGAACATCTGTGTACTGATTGTTAAACTTCAATATAATTCCCTTTTTGACGAGAAAAAAAAAATGTGGACAATGAATGAAAATCTGTACAAAGAAACTGTAAACATGAATTTATTACGTAGAGCTTATTCCTAAGTCTTAAATAAATAAGTTGGATAGGAGTATAAACACTTTTTTTGTCAACATATAAACATTATTGTGTCCAATAATAGCAAAATGTTCTAGTAATACCACTTTTTCACATTCAAAATTACTAAAATAACCGCAGCAAAAAAAAATTACTTCAAAATAATCTTAAATTTTACAAATCACAACAAATATAAATTTTTGTTTGTAAAATTCGAGATTCTTTATCACTGTTGCCGGATTATAGTCCCCGCCACCAAAATTCACCAATAATCAATAACTATATTTAGCAATCACCACTTGAGTTTACCAGAAAATTAAATAAATATTAAAATAACTGTTGTGAAAAAATTACTAAAATAAAATTAGAAAATACTAAAATAACTGTTGTGAAAATTACTAAAATAACCGTAAATTTAAAACACCACAACTAATAGAAAACAAAAGCAAATATCAATAATAAAAATCAAGAATCTTTTATTACTATTGCCGGAATTTAATTACTGTCAGCCGAGTTCACCACAAATCAATCATTTTCGTTAGAAATCTTCTCGTGCGTACATAAGTTGAAGAAAAACTTGGGTGTATAACTGTATATCTTAATTTACTTTGTTTCTTGTTACAAAATAAATATCACGCTGTTTGTACTACAAACAGAACATGATTCTTGCTATTTTTATCATAAATATCAAACCAGTACATAAAATAGAAGATAGTACTAGTCGTGCAGAGTTTTATCTATAACATGAACATATATGAATCTTATTAATCTTATTTTTCTTAATAATCAAATCCAATCTTCTTCTCTTCTACAGTTCAAAAATGTCTCTTATCAATTTTTATTTAGTCTACCAGGTTTTGCGATAGTATGCATTTTTAGTGTTAAACCTCTTGCTAAGATTGGATGTTTCACCTTAACTAGGTAACTAATTATTTATATTTTTTCCCAAAGTTAGTTTACCCTTGGAATGGATAATGATGAAAAGGTTGGTTTTAGTCAATCAGAACATCT